TGAACTTCTTATAAAAGAAACATTATACATAAAAACTCTTCTTCTGTTCCTAAATAATACACAGTCTTCACTGGATTTAAACTTATCTTAATTTAACTATTTCATTTGTGCCACATTTATATTTGTATATTCAAATTGTTTACTTCTTATGTATATATTTCTGTTGTAATTACAAATATTGTTTGTTTGTTTTGTAGCTCTAGATTACTGATGATGGAATTATGATGATTCCAAAATGTTTAATAAATGTTTCTTGTTATCATGTTCGTATTTTGCTTTATCATTTTCCATTCTATTGATATGAAATTATCAAAATAATATTTGAGGTTAATGTGTGCCGTTATATGCAAACATTAACATTTCAAGTGCAAATATCTTAATTTTAAAACTTAATTTACATTATTCTAAGATGAAAAAAATGTTCCACTTTACTAGAATTTGAACATATGGAGGATTGTAAGGTGAATTATTCAAAAAATTAATTCTAAATCACAATACTATTTGAAGATTATCTCAAGCCTAGGGTCTCATGACTCATTCTTAGAGATACTCTCACATAAAACTTTTCATGACAGAAACACAATTCTGACAGTTGTAGATTGAACTCAATATTAAATTATTTAATTAAAAGTGATTACCTCTTCTTAAAGCTGTTTTCAGTTATTTAATAGTCTACTGGAAAAGCTATGAGCAACTTGACAGGTTCTGTAAGTTTGGTATTTAAAACACCTTGGTTCTGGTCAATTTTTCCTTCATGTGCATAGATATCAAAATGAATATTTACTAGTAACCTATTTATGCTATATAACTAGTATTCAAGAACTTGTTGCATAAGGGGTATTCAAAGCTTATGCTATGTCATAGTCTTCAGAAGAAAAATGTGCTTTTGAGGGTAAAAAGTCAAACTTCTTCAGGCATGTTCATTTTATTGACATTGTAATGTTTAATATTTCTATTTTTAGTCATTTTAATTTATTATTGCACCTTTATTATAAATTTATATAGCACTCTTAGCTTAGTATATGGATTTGGGACTAACCTAAATGTGCTAAGATAGCTAAACCTCATGAAATATTATTGGGTTTATATACACAAATATCATTAAACACCAAAGAAATCTAGCTGAAGAAACAATGCATTATCATCTTTATAAGAAGAAGCGTAAGAACAGCATACATACTTGGATAGTTGTATCCATTGCCAGTTTGATTTTTGGTTTAGATTTGAGTAGACAGCTTGATTTAAGCAGAGGTTTACGTTAATGGACATCATTTCAATGGTACTGTTGTTCAATCAAGTAAACTAAGACTTATAAATATTTTTTGAAAAAATCCCATTGAAATTTAATTTCAAAATTATAGTAAATTCAACAACTTAAAGGGAATTTATGTAAAAAAGCTGTATCTCAGGATTTATGACAAAAAATCTGACATTACATAAAACTGACTTATCAGAAAGTTGGAAAAGTAACATCTGAAAAATCATACTTAAAAGGGAAGAAATATAACTAAGCTAACAGCATGAAAACAAAAAAAAAACCTGTTGCATATTAAAATTTATTTTCATCCATGAATTAATTAGCCATATTCCAACTGACAAAGGCAAGACTTAAACATTTCCTCCAATGAACCTATCAGTGGGAATGACCACTAACTGCTAAATGATCCTTAGTCACCAGGCTTTTCTCAGGTGTTGTTGCTGTATTACATAACATTTCTATGATCTTTCTTTCTGAAATTTACATGTAAATATGTTTCACATGCATCCCCTATCTAAAGAAAACAAAGCAAAACAGACATTCATGAACACCTCACATACCATCTGACTGACTATAAGGGCAATATGGGCTTGTGATAAAAGTTACATAAATCATTTATTTCTTTATGCAGTGATTAGCTCAGACGATCACAATCATGAAGGTAAAAAAAATGAAATTTAAAACCACAGAATATATTTTTTTTACTGAATAAAATAACTGTTATTTTGTGACATCAGTATTCTTTTACAAAAAAAGGGGGAGTGGGATTAGATATAGTAACTCAATGGACAGTTAAACTATCAAACCTCAGACAGAACTGATCAGGAATCCAAGTTGGATCACCACCATGAATATTATCCAAAAAAGAATGAGTAAGAAAAATTGGTACACTCACCTGAAAGTCTTCAAAGAAATGAAAAAAATTATGTAAATTTATGAAATCTATCCAATCAAAAATACTGAAATTATGAAATAACAAAATTGAAAAGGAAAAAAAACAAAGTGAGGTAATACATAAAATAATTAATACCAACATATCTTTCACATGGTTTGTGTGTTTTCTCAGTCAGTACTTTTTCAGCATTTATGATATACCTTGTAATCTTAATCTACATGGCCAAGTATGTGAAAAAAATTGACAATAAAAGCTTTTTCACAATAGCTTAAATGGTTAATAAAAACATTCAAGAAATTCTCACCAAATGGATAACTGACTTTTGCTGCTTTTATCTTCTCTATATTTTCTTGGATGTCTGTGGTAGTAAATTCCACAAAAGGAGGAGTGAACACATCATCTGAAATGATAGGGTTTACAAAGAATATCATATAATGGAAATAAACACTTTTTTTCAGGCAATGCAATAAATAGCAATGACATTTTACAAAGTAGTGATCATAAACACAAAGTAGCTAATAGATATTATATATGTTAAAATATAACAAAACTTACCAACAGATGAGAGATACCATTAAACTTGCTGTCCTGCTTGCTTATGGACTTTCCTTTTATTACACATCAATTAATAATCTTAATATTCTACTTTACCTTATTTCTTTTGTTTCACAACTGTTTAATATTATACGTGGCACACAATTCATAACATACTGTCACTAGATAAGAACAACCAGATTTATGCACAATTTGTATATACTAGCTGACAAAAAAAAAAAAGCTTTCGCTATCCAACAGAGCAGACCATTAACTCATTTATCTATGAACATAACTACATCAATTAATGTCACATAAAATAATCAATTAATAAAAATTAGTGCCTTTGATTTTTCCAATTAATCAAGTGTAGGAAATACTGCCATTATGATTTCTCATTATTTTCAATTAATTCACGGTTGTTCAGTTTAATCAATTAGTTTTACAACTCACAAAAATAATCAACTAACAGAAATTAGAGTTTTCAATTATTACTATTTTTGATTATTCCAACTATCCAAGTCTCATGTGAGAATAATCAATTAGAAAAATTGTAATTGATTAATGAGCCGGATGATTAACTGATTGGCAAATTCCACTAGTAACCAATAAATAAACAATTTATTTTAATTTTTGATATGTTTTTAATTATCAATATGTTTCTACACCTGAATGACTTACAAAGATTTGTATTATAATACTAATGTTACAAAAACAACTATCAAAAATGCTGACTGACATTTAGCAGATGAAAGTAACTATTGCACCAACTTTTTGAGAAACTAAAACAAGAAAATTATTATGTAACTTACCAATAAATATAACTGAAGTGCATAGAGGGGGTAATAGAGAATATGAAACTAGTTTAATTATATCAGGTCGTCAAGACATTAATGTCGCATTTTGGAACACTTTCATTAACCACCCCCAAAAAAAACGTACATCACGTATAATAATTAAACGAACTTCCTATACATCACGTTAGTGTCACCTGTATAATGTGTAAAGTTTAGTATACTCTAATCCCTTATAGTAATGGCACACGATGAGACACACATTCAGCATGTAATGCTGTTTGAATACAAGAAGGGAAACAATGCCTCTGTAGCCATAAAGAATATCAAAGACGTTTATGGAAATGTTTTAAACATTTGCAAGTGTCAACAATAATTCAGCAAATTTTGTTCAGGTGACTTTAGCCTTAAAAACAGGGGCTGACATGTTGGAATTGATATTGATGATCTGAAGATGCTTGTTAAGTCTAACCCAAGGCAACACACTCATGAAATGGCCCTAAAATTGCATGTCTCTCACGAAAAATACTTAAACATCTAAGGAATATGAGAACACTCCATAAAGAAAGATGTTTGGGTTCCTCATGAACTCTTCGATGATCATTGTTTCCAACATGTGAACGTTGCTTCATCTCTTCTGGCGCATAATGCACGTGAACCATTTTTGGACAGAATTGTCACCAGTGATGATAAAGGGATTCTCTATGCGAATATTAGACACCAAAAACAGTGGCTCAGTCGTAGACAAAAACCACATCCAACCCCAAAACCTGGACTCCATCTGCAGAAAGTGATGCTTTGCGTTTGGTGGGACATCAAAGGAGTAATTCATTTTGAACTGTCAATCCACAGAGAACTGTCAATGCAGAGATATATAGTCAGCAACTGGAATGTTTATATCAAGCCCTTTATCAGAAATGCCTTCCACTCGCCATTCTCCACAACAATGCATGTCCACATGTGGCATGTTTGATGCAACACAAGATTCTGGAGTTGGGTTGGAAATTTCTCTCCCACCCACCATATTCTCCAGATATGGCACAATCAGATTATTATCTTTTTTGTTCACTGCAACACCATCTTAATGGGAAGATATATGCAAGTGTGGAAGGTGTCCAAGAGGAGATTGACATGTTTTTTTGCTTCAAAGCCAAGTGATTTCTTTAATCAGGGTATTAACAACCTGATTGTAAGATGGAAAATCATCATCAATAAGAATGGAGACTATTTCATTTAATAAATGTTTTGTTTTGATATACAAGTTGTTCAGATTTTTTCATCTAAAAAAAGTGACATTAACTTCTTGATGACCTAATACATAGCACATATAGTTGAAAATATCATAGCACTGAGGAAGTATAACATCACTAACTATAAAAGGCTTATTCCCTTTGTTACTCTGTCAAGAATGCTTTCACACTCTTTTTTTGGTTATACTCAACAATATAAATCATTGTTGATTTGTTAGAAAGGTTTGTTTTTATTCTTTTTTTGATAACTTTGATGATATAACAGCAAGATAGTTTAATTCAGAAGTTTTATGGCATAAAATTGTAGCCAAAAGCAAAATAAAATTTCCCAAATAGTGTTTCAGCTAAGCCTTATGTTATGTTTATGTATCAAATTAGACTACAAATAGGCCTACTATTACTCACATTATAGTCAGTGTTTAAAATGTTTTAGTTGGTAAATAAATGTTAATTATGAAGTATTCTTTTGATATTTTAACACACATATTATGTACTTGGCCTTAAAACATAAAGAAAAATAAACGTTTATTACTACCAAATATCTTTTATCCTTTGTACAGTTGAAAGAGTTGAAAATTTGTGTCAGAATGTCCGCACTATGTCTTCTACTTCCTGATCTAGAATATAGTAAAAAGGCTCAAGAGTGCCATTTAATTTTCTTTCAGAGTGTACATGTACTTTTGTTCATGATAACATTTCCTATTTTTCTGCTTAGTTTTTACTAAAAATGTGTTGATTAAAGTACCATTTTGAGTCTGATGTAATAAGTAGAGTAGGTGAATTTTGGAGGTACAGACAACTTAGTTTTAGTTAAATTCTATAATTTTTTTTAATTATTCTACAATGGTTTCCCATCACTTTTGATAGGCTTTTATACCAGTAATTCATTATAAAACTACATGCATAATATTGATACTAAGCTCAAAATTACTTAACAAAAACTCCAATGTAGTCCAAATTACATAATTATTCTACTTAAGCAACAGTATAATTATATTAAAATCATACATTTATTTGTCTTTGGACATTCACACAAAGGTACTCAAGGGCTTATTGCACTAGCCATTCATTTTTAATTGACTGGCTAGAAGGAAGGCTGCTACTCAACAGCATCCACTACCAATTCTTCCTACTCTAATCATATAGTGGGGGTTTATCTGTCACTCTTATAATGCACCCATGGCTCCAAAGTGCAAAGCACAATTTTACAGAAATGGGACACAAACCATGAGCCCTCAGATTCATGGTTCAGAACATTAATCACTAAACACTGAGGGTGTATACCTAGATATTACTTATCCAAGTACATGCACATATCTTTTTAATGATGCAAGCTAGAGAAAAACCACATTGATAAGAAGAGGTTCCTTACATAACAACTTCTAATATATAGAAAAGCCAGTGCATTTTGGTAACAATGCATTCCAACAATGGCTTTTATGTAATGTTGCTTAGCAACAAAATTATATAGGCTATACTTTTATGCTAAAATGAGTTCAGAATGCACACAATATCAACTTAATAACCCAAGCAAAGCCAAGTACTTTCATCAGTGCTTGACATAAAATATACAGCAGATAGCAAATTAATTCCTGATAGAGGTGAAAACTGTTCCCAAAATCAGTGCCAAAAGCAAAACATATGCTGTTATAGTCTCACATGTGCTTCTATCCTCTCTAATAACAATTATCTATATGATATGTTATATAATGTAAATATTAAGTGGAACTCAATAACTTTTTATGTAGTCTTGGGTTTGAAATTGTTAAGAATTTTAACCATAGTTAAATGTGAGAAACAAGGAAATATATCTTTAACCACATAACACCTATTTTAACTTGACTGAAAATAAAATGTGGACTTTTAGCTAAAAATATTATATATTCCATTCTGCAATTTTACAATAACTTACATTATAATAACAGTAATTAGCAAAGAACTTGTCTAGAATATACTGAATTTTTTAAAAAAATTGTGAGAGAGAACAATGTTCCTATAATTTAAAAATAACTGTGAAACTTTTTGTTGTAAAAATTCAATACTTATTTCAGATAGTTGAAGAATGGGTTTCCTTAGAGAAATGTAGGGAAGAGTGAAATAACGTAGTTTATAGAGAGTTAATAGTTTGGAGAATTTGGGTTTTAAAAGCTGATGATTCCACAGAATTTTTGTCATTTATTATCCATGGAAGAGTTTTTCCATATCCATTTAAGTGCCTCGTTAACTACAACAAAATAGACACGAAGCACTTAAATGGTATGTAAGATATTTGGTATAAATATACAGGAAGAGATGATAAAGGGTTAAGCAGTATTAACATTTTAGGTCAAACATAAACATATTAATTTATTTCAGTATTTTGAAAGTATTAAACATTATTATAAACCACCTCAAATTCTGAGTAAAGTATATCTAACTACCAATTACAATTTGAAATAAATAAATCAACTACATTAACCACATAAGAAGACAAATTTTTCAGAAAATATTTCCTATATTTTATGAAGAAAATCAAATTATAGAATATGTTTGACATTTGAATTCTATTACCTCAAAACCATCTCTTCATAGCTAATGTTATTCAATCCAGGAAATGTTTGTTTCAGAATTTCATATCATAATATTGACATTATACAGTGCAGTCTTGATTAGTTAACTGTTTTAGTTAAACAACAATAATATTAGATTAAAATTACATGTTTGTTTTCAAATAATTCTACAAAGCTACTCAAATGCATAGCTGTTCCTAATTTCAAACTGGTGAATTGAAAGGAAGACAGCCAGTCAACAGCACCTACCATAAATCCTTTGGCTACTCTTGTCTGATCAAATAGTGGGATATGACTGTCATTCTTTCATGATTTTAGTGCACTCACAACCTCACAGAGTGGAATGTGTTTTTGCCACAACAGTTCAAGAACAATGAATTCTTAAATTCACAGTCAAGATAGATTAACTACTAGTGCTAGCCCACTCTTCCACAAATTGTTCTAGTTATCTCAGCCTATACTTTTAACTTTTAACAAAAAAAGCAGTTTAAGGAAATTAAGTGTATTGTTGGATACAATTACTGGTTCAATGAATTAATAAAGGATTATTGTTTGATGAATCCTGAAAACTAAATAAATTATTGTATAATTCGTAACATTTAACAACAACAGACAGCTATATACAACCTTACAATAGCTACACGGAGGTACAGTTTAGCTACTGTAATTAATCATCATATTTGTACTCTACTTTCAGTGAAGTTATAAAACCTTTATGTAACATAATAAAAGGTAAAATGTGAATCTTGTAGCTTCTGGGTAGTAGTTAACCTCTACCGCTTCTATGTGGTAACTAAAATGTTGTAGTACACAAGCATTACAATGTTTGTCACTGAATGACTTTTGTCAGACATGTTGGCAGCACTACAGAAAGTTTGCCAAAAAATTAATAAAAAGCGAACTATTTCATATTTTTATACTCTACAAATTTTCAACTTCTGCCACCTAAAATCTATGCATTGAGCAAACTAGCTCTGTTACTCCTATAGTTTTGCTACATGGTACATTGATAGCAGTGTAATACAAAGGAATTGGGCTTAGTTAATTTTTTGCTATGGATACTTTTTATAAGAAATATGACTGTCACAAAATACTTTCCAACATGGAAGTATATAAAAGAGTATCTTCCAGGATATCCAATAACACAAGCAAATTTCAAACATCTGGCAGCAAGCGATACAAGTGAAGAATCAACTATAGAGCTATATCTACAAAGCTTACTGGCATAATCAAACTATTATGTTTTTTAGGCTTAAAATCATAGCTTAATTATCAGGGTTCTCTAACTTCAAACCACTAATGAGCCAGATTGCTAACTAACAATGTATAATCCTAGATTGTATAATTTCGTTTGAATTCTGGAGCATATCATATCTGTCCAATATACATTTAGAGTAACTCAATAAATAATGTGAGAAATATGTAAATAATACTTTGCCTTTTTTAAAATGTGAAACAAGTTTTGTTTATTCATTTTACAAACTTATATTAACTAACCCACTGACTGTGGCTGCTCTAAACATGTACAGAATTTTTGCAAGCCATACACCATATATGGCATACTCATATTTGACTGCCAAAGGCAGACCATACCCTATATGGCAAAACAGCAGTCAATGGGCTAAGGATCCTTATAACACTTGGGGGCCAGACAAAACCTGACTACAGACCACCAGTTGGACTGCCTTGATATAGATAATAACATTCTTCAGGTTTTATTACAGAGTACAACAAGATCACATGAACAGTGATGCAAATGAAATGGCAAACACAAAATCTAGCACACTTGAATGTGATATAAGTTAGAGTTTCTCAATCACTGGTTGTCAGACTGATCCCAGTCCATCACAACCACTTGCTGGACCATGGAATTTCACAAAAGCAAACAAACAAAAAAACTGACATATAAATCATAATGGTTTTTTAATGTACTTGCATTGTAGCAGTTGGCAACAGTTTACAGAAGCAGCAAGTTAGTCCCTGGTATCAAAAAAGTTTTGAAATGATGATGACATAAAATTACAGGCAACTCTAAATACTTGTTTATAAATTATAAACTTACATTTACCTGTAAACATTTCTATAAAATTGTTTATCAAAAGCATCTATTTATAAAACCACTTTCATGTATTGTTTATGTTTGGAAGTTTTTGAAATACGTCTGCACTATTACAAAACACAAACAACTTACCATCTTGTTCTAGTTCACTTGTCTTCACCATGGTGTACTGATGAGAACGATCAAGTAGCTTTCTCACATTGGAGAGCTGGTCTATAACCAAAATCTCAGGGTGACGACAGATATATTCCTAACCACCACCAGGACAAAAGAGAGAGAGAAAAAAAAACACTATTACTTACACATTCTCTAATTCAAAATTAACCTTTTCCTACACTGAAAATGTATTTCCAATAAATTCTTACCTCTTCTTACATAGTAGCTTTTCCTGACTTGTGCTGCTCTCTTTATGTGCAATTTATGCATGCCACTAGCCTTGATGCTCCCACATACCTTCACATGTTTACATGTGGTAGAGCTACACTGTAGCATGCAACAACTCTCCACTAACAGGAGTGCTACACACCGTCCTAGCACAGCTGACTCTCTCTATACCGTAAAGCACTTACATCACTTTGAAATTAGGCAAAAAGATGCACTGGAAGTGGGGAGGATGGGTGGGAAATGTGAGGAGATGTAAATATCTATCAGAAAAACATTTGCAGTGTAGAAAAATATTAATTCTTCCGATATGATACCTTACCTCTTCTCACTTAATAGCTATAATCCCACATTGAAATGGTGAAGAGACCAGTGCAAAGGTTTCTTTGATGATCACTCTTTAGAAGGAACCTAAAGCTAAAGAGAACCTATTGATTGTGATACCTTAATGTATGGGGTCACACTCATGGGAGATTGCATTCCATCTGTACCAGGTATACTCTTATACTCTTCGCCCATAAAGATATGAGTCATTAAATCAGGCAGAAAGATACACAGTCAATATATAATTGGGCATGCCAAATAGTGTAGAACGACTAGGGTGCATCAGACTGTATTCGATGGGTGAACTCTAGTCCAATTCCAAGTGGCATTGGATATTTGTCTTTTGGTCCACAGTAGGAGGAGGGTCCAAACTTTTCACCTCAAGACCAGGAAGCAGAAGGTAAAATGACTTCCATTCTGATAACCCAGCCAGAGCAGTACACAGCCAACACCGGGCTACCCAGAAACCCAACATCCAGGTATTGGTAGGAAGGGGAAATGCAAATGTGGTGGGTCAACTCCAGTCCAAAACCAGGTGGTGTCGGGAATTCTTTGTCCATTCCATGGTAGAAGGAGGGTCCCTACCAACTACATGTGTGAGGATTTATGTCAGTTGGTCCTACTCTGATCCAACACCAGACCACCCAGTAACCAACATCCAGGCAGTGGTAAGATGGGGGAAACCCAGCCAGAGGGGTAAAATGCATGTGGTAGATTCATCCAGTCCAAAACCAGGCAGCATCAAGAATTTGTCTTCCAGTCCACAATAGGAGGAGAGTACTCGCCATCTACATCAACAGAATACCACCCTATTCATGACAGAGTGAAATTTATCACACTCAAGAGGAAGCCTCTATGGTTCACCACCCAAATGGCTAGTAACTGGTAAGTGGCAAGGACTCCCATACTCCACTGGAAAAGGGGGGGAAACAATATGGTGGAACACAACACTGTAAAGCAGGCCAGTCCCAGTTTATTCAACTAGGACTGGAGTGTTGGGTAGCAATCCCAATACTGCTTTACTCATAGTCCATGAGTTGGTACAGTCTGGTGCAGGCTTTATTTATGAAGGAAGATACTGTGATACTGAGCAGGATCCAGAGATGTAAAAATAGGCCACAATAAATGCAAGATATATAAAAAGAGAACTTACTCATTCAGGGATGTTAAGGTGTGAAGTATGGCAACAGGAGGAAGTCAATATCCAGAAGAAGAGATGGGCAGAAAATGAAGAAAATGTGCAGCGAAAGTAAGTCGCATAGTCTAAATGCCCATTTTCACAAACCCTCCAACAGATGATAGAAGTGAAGAACCAGTGAGAGCGTAAGGTGTTAGATTCAGTGATAGGGGACTTTTAAGAGTCGTGTTAAAATACATTCAATGAAGCACAAGTGAAATGGATGGTGCTGTAGCCATTCCTTGAGAGTAATAGAAAAAAAAAATTGGGGGAAATGAGGAATTCCAAAGAATAAATAGATGGAAGCATGAACTGTGAAAAGAAGTAAAGAGGGCCAAAGAACAAATGGACATAACTGAGAAAATGATTTGGAACAGAACGAGAATAATATAAAGAAAAGGAAGGAAAAAATATGGGAATCCACACCATTCTCCCATGGCCACCAGCAAATAACAAGAAGCAAGATCTAAGCAAAAAATGGTACAAGGAACAAAAGACTAAAGGATCAAAGAGAGGAAGGGTAAGAACATGGGGAACAGCATTCAGGTTTCTATCAGAAAGGATTGCAAGATGAGGATGATAAAAGTGGCAAAATGAACAACAAACATAGAAAAACAGAAAAGGAGAATAAATGATGATAATAAGTAAACCTGAAATTATTAGGAAGCACTGCCCAGTAACCAGCCATCGCAAGAGCATTAAGCCTCAGTCAAACAGTCAATGAAAATATTTGGAAAGACGGGCAATAGAAGGAAGGGAATGGAATAAAACATGATGCATAGACCAACTATGGAATGTGTACCCTCTTCATGGACAGACAAGGAGAGAAAAAATCATGCATTGAACAAGAAAAAAGGAAGGCTATATGCAGAAAGGTTGGAACATTTTACAAGGTACTGGACAAACACCACATGTAAACTCAGTGTGATGACACCATCAGATGGGAGACGGAGGAGTAACAAAAGTAAGAGAAGAAATGAGCACAGGAGAAGGTGCAATATAAGAAACTATGGCCAAACCAGCCAGTATGGAGCACATTTCAATCAATGTATTAAGTCATCAAGCATTAATGTCGTTTATTTTTAGATTAAAAAACTCCAAACAACTTATACATCAAAACAAAACATTTATTAAATGAAATAGTCTCCATTATTATCAATGACGCTTTTCCATCTTACAATCAGGTTGTTAAAGCCCTGATTAAAGAAATCACTTGGCTTTGAAGAAAAAAACATGTCGATGTCTATTAAGATGGTGTTGCAGTGAACAAAAAAGATGGTAATCTAATTGTGCCATATCTGGAGAATATGGTGGGTGGGAGAGAAATTTCCAACCCAACTCCAGAATCTTGTGTTGCGTCAAACGTGCCACATGTGGGCATGCATTGTTGTGGAGAATGGCGAGTGAAAGGCATTTCTGATTAAGGGCTTAATTTAAACATTCCAGTTGCTGACTATAGATCTCTGCATTGACAGTTCTCTGTGGATTGACAGTTCAAAATGAATTACTCCTTTGATGTCCCACCAAACGCAAAGCATCACTTTCTGCAGATGGAGTCCAGGTTTTGGGGTTGGATGTGGTTTTTTTGTCTACAACTGAGCCACTGTTTTTGGTGTCTAATATTCGCATAGAGAATCCCTTTTTCACCACTGGTGTCAATTCTGTCCAAAAATGGTTCACGTGCATTATGTGCCAGAAGAGATGAAGCAACGTTCACATGTTGGAAACGATGATCATCGGAGAGTTCGTGAGGAACCCAAACACCTTTCTTTATGGAGTGTTCTCATATTCCTTAGATGTTTACGTATTTTTCATGAGAGACATGCAATTTTAGGGCCATTTCATGCGTGTGTTGCCTTGGGTTAGACTCAACAAGCATCTTCAGAGCATCAATATCAATTCCAACATGTCAGCCCCTGTTTTTAAGGCTAAAGTCACCTGAATAAAATTTGCTGAACCATCGTTGACACTTTCAAATGTTTAAAACATTTCCATAAACTTCTTTGATGTTCTTTGTGGCTACAGAGGCATTGTTTCCCTTCTTGTATCCAAACAGCATTACATGCTGAATGTGTGTCTTGTCATGTGCCATCACTATAAGGGATTAGAGTATACTAAACTTTACACATTATATAAGCTGCACTAATGTGATATTTAGGTAGTTCGGTTAACTATTATACGTGATGTACATTTTTTGGGGGGTGGTTAATGAAAGTGTTCCAAAATGAGACATTAATTTCTTGATGACCTAATATTAATTGAAAACTTACTGGTAGTAATAAGTAATTTAATGGGTGTTACACAAAGTGTAATTGAAGAACAGTTACCTGTTCAGATTGAACAGTTTAGTAATTTTAATAGTCAAACTATTCAAGATACCTTCAGTAATCTCGACGTAACCAAGTATCTTAATATGTTGACTTAAAGAATTGTTTGTGTTTTGAATCTCAGTCTCTGAGTTAATTCTTATTCTAACTGTAAACTTCTTCGAGTTAGTGACTTGTGTACTCCACTCATGACTGTAAACCTGGATTTTAAATAAATCTATTGTTAACTGTGGAATGCCGTGTGCACAGTGTGATGGAATGTAGGTGACAAGAAAAAAACCCATACAATAATGCAGAATCCACGTGATGTTGATGCGAGTCCAAAGGTAAAAACCCAGAACTGCAGTACCTAACACTTGTGCACAAAAAATGCCGACAGTGGTACACCACCACTATGGCAGTGTGCAGACATGAGCTGACTGCAACAAATTTGGACATCTCCAATCCCAGTAAAAAATGTCCACTCAGATTGAGGAATGAGTAACTTGTGAAAATTGGAGAATCTAGGCATTGATACAGATGAGAAGATTGATGACTGGACACCATTCTCCTGTCTTCTTAGGCCCAATAACTGATGGGAATAAAACCTTGAAAGAACTAGTACGACACTCTCACTACCCTAGACCAACCAAACTCTTATAGCCCTAGAACTAAGTTCCAAGTCCCAAGGATCTGTTAGGGATGGAAACACTACAGGTTGGGTGGATAATAGTGGTAAAGATGTGAACTAAATTACTAATCCTGACTCAAGGACCCATAGTGCTCCTGAATCTATGGTTAATGTTACCACACGTCCAGAAATTATCACAGCAAAACCCCACAGGCTCTGAAGGCATACAATAATCACTGACACTGTTGATGTTGATCTGACCGAGCAGTGGACCCTTGGATATTGACAGAATTTATTCTGGGTACCAACATACCAAGGGACTGATGCCAGGGGTTGGGACCCACAAATAGAGGCAGAACCCCCCTATATGAGCCAATGACATCAAGAACAACAGGAATGAATGTAGAAGCCGACAACTGAACCAATGTGCA